GGCAGATGTCACCGTCTCCAGTGGAGGCGGTGACATCTGCCCTGCATGTATTCATGAGGTGACGCTTAGTGTGCGGTGCCATCAAGAGGGCTGCAATTGGCCTGACATAAGCGAAAGAGAGAAGGAGATGGAAAAAGTCTCTGATCACGATACGAGGTCAGGTTCATGTGCTACTGAACGACAATCTGGCTTATTCGTGAAGACTATTCATAGAAAGCATCTGCAACTGAAATGCCATCGAAACTCAAGGTGCAAGGAAAGTGGAGGTCTCTTTTACTTCATCCATCCTGCATGTCAGGCGGCTCTAGTGCTCTCAGAAATCTGCTCTCTTTCTTCATCCACCACCTCGCCTCCTCCAACCCGGCATACAAGACCAAATCACGTGCAAGAGAGAAAGGGTCCCATGATATATCTAATGCGGCTTCGGAACCGGTCCATAGATCTTGAAGTTGGACGCGCAGCTCGCCGCCCTCAAGTAGCACAAGCTACAGTACTGCTTCCCATCGCTTCCGAAGGGCCCATCCTCCAAGCAGACGGCCAAGCACACAAAGTCACAGTCCGGCCCCGGGAAGCCGTCTGATCTAGTCGCCCAGCTGCCGCAGAACGCGACATCAGCGTTGCCCTCAGCCACGGAGCAAATCCCCTTGGCGCCCGTCTTGGAGCAGAACTCCACCGAGCACTTGGGCGGCGGGCCGGGCAGCTTCTTGCAAACGCCGCGGTTGGGCCGGTCGGCGGCGGGGAAGCCGAAGTCGAAGATCACGCATGTGGCGTGCCGCCCGCACGGGAAGGGGGAAGGCGGTACGAGCCCGCCGCCGGTCGAGCAGAGCAGGCCGGAGGGGACAGGAGAGGCGGCGAAGCTCACGGTGGCCAGGGTGAGGGCGAGGAGGGCGGTGAAGCAATTCATCCTGGGGACGGTTTGCTGGCGCTGGCGGTCGGGGTCTGGCGGTAGTGGAGGGGGGATGCTGCGCAGAAGGGCTTGGTGTCTGTGCGGGGAATGCCCATATTTATGTTGTCCTCGTTGACGACGCGTCCAGATCCCTTCCAAGGGACTGAGATTTTTTAGCTGCACTACTGTGTGCACATGCACATCGGGTCATGGAAGATACGGAAGGTGAGCAACATCTCAGCCGTAGGTTTGGAGGTTTTGCGACCGTGTCTTCGCGGTGCATGTCGAAACTTTCATCCGGTGTGAATGGAAGTGTCGAGGGAAAAAGTTGGGTCGCTTCTAGATTGCTCACTGAGCAGCTTCAAGTTCCCTGAAAAAGTTTTGTGTATGAGTTCCGATCCGGGTGAGGTAGAAAAGAAAGCAAGTTGCTGGAACTATTATTGACTTGCAAGCCTTGATTTCGTCCGATCTAATGTTCCATGACGAGATGGACTACCACATGACGTGTGTGGCTCCATTCAACATAAAAATTGGACTTTTGTGTGGAAGGAAGTAGAAGACAAGACGAGAGCGTTTGTGAATTGACAAATGGTGGAGCGTTCAAACAGAGATAAAGGTGCGAAGAGTCGGAATTGAAATTATTCGTTTTCGCATTGTTGCTTTTCAGGTCGCCAGTTTTTCATGTCACCAGACTGTACTTTTTTTCAGTACCACAGGCGTATTTGATATGGGCAGCAGGAACAACTCACACCCTCGCAGCTCACACCATCGCAGCCAGGCAGCGTGAGCTGGCGCATTTCATCATACGTGGCGACGCAGAACAGTACGTGAAGTGGCGCGGCTCTTGAAAGCCGTACCGCCTCTCGTTCGAAAGTGGGAAGGGTTGTACTCGATATGAGCTTTGGGGTTGTAGAGAATGAATAAAGATGAAGGTGCAGGACAGCAGCTGCCGCTCTTCTTTTCTACTTTATGCAGCTGTCGATGGCCACCAGTATTTGATGTATGAGCTTAACTACAATAATGTTACAACTGTTCAAAACTACGGAGCAACAGGTTGCCCCTGGTGCTAAGACACGTACTAACGCAGGGTGCCTCTCAGCATATCTGGTATAAACTTTATACCGTTCCTCTCAGAAAACCAAAATCATCATCCGCAGGCCCAAGATGCTGTGAGAATCTTTGCTGTAAAACAGACGAGTGCGGGCTATGTGCATTGAAATCATGTGGAGAACAGAACAACTACAGTATTAACCTTGCATGTAGTGTCTCTAGATGACACGTGACCGGATAAGCGGATAATTCTCAACAGTTTTCCGGGGTTGTATTTTCTCGACACGACGGGAAAAGAAATCCTTTACTACCGTACTTGATTGCTCCGTTGCGGAAGGATAGATTTTAGTGAGAGCAGCATGCTTTCAGGTCGCTTTTAGAAATGCCCTTGAAAGTTTTGCATTGAAACCAATTTTGGTTGCTTCGAAACCAAAACGCCTGTTTGAAAAGCATTGTAGTTCTTAAACTCCATTGTCAACATTGCTGCGCGTTTTGAGGTTCAGAATGCGATGTTGGCGCCACATGGTATTCCTACCTTCGTAACAGCAGGTGGCGGGGTTCGGCCAGCCGGGACCGGGACAAAAGCTTCGGGAGGCGCGCGGATCCGCAGGGACGATGCGGTAGGCACGACTGTGCGGCGGCAGCGGCAAGCAGGCGGCAGCGGCAAGCAGGCGGCAGCGTCTTCGGTTTTCGGGGGACGGGCTTATTCACGGGGTGGTTCCGACAGGCGGAGAGACGCGGGCGCGTCTGCGTTCGTGAAGGGCGTCAAAAGATGAAATGCGGGGAGACATGCCGTGTCGCCTGGACTTGCGCCGAGGTGGGTGCCGTTTACTGAAGAGGTAAGCTTCGCAGTGCAACACGTGACAAAGCGTGCTTCGTGATTGTGCATGGAAGTAGTACCCTTGGGTAGCACTGCGTCTACCTACTGTACGTGGGGCTGCGGTATCTCTCCCTGCACCGCGATTTATTTCTGCCATGCACACCCCGCGGGCTGCAACTGTCTGGGTAAGGAGTTTTTCGTTGGCACACTTGCATGAAAAGAAGACCGGCTTAGCCGTACAGGTTGCACAGATCTACAGGTGCTGCACGATGCTCTCCCAGCGCCGGCTACTCCATATGGTCCAGCGTTGCATCTGCTGCCATCGCGCGGATCTCGAGGGCAGGGAGTGGTTTAGACTCTAAACCATGAATAAACCACTCCCTGCTCTCGAGAGCTCGAGAGCTCGAGAGCTCTGAAGAGCTGCTGCGCCACCGATGCGCCTGCCTTGCATGAGGACTTGACTGGCTCGCCGAGAAGCTGCGCTCCTACCTACGAACTTCGTAGCCGCCATTTGCCTTATTCGTAGGCTACGAATAGGGCAAATGGCGGCGACCACTCCGTACTACGAAGGTAGTAGTAGGAGCGCAGTTTCTCGGAGTGGTACGAAGGTAGTAGTAGGAGCGTAGGTAGTAGTAGGAGCGTGTGGTGCAAGATCGATGCCTCCGTTTACTGATGCCTATCGTGTCTCTACCTTATACTGTAAGGGAATGGGAGGGATCAGTGAGACGGTGGTGAATAAAGATGATCTAATTGCGCTGTCATGCGTGTGCTACGTGTGCACGTATGGCTCTCATGACAGAGCGCAGTTTCTCGGAGTGGTCGCCGCCATTTGCCTTATCACGACTCGGTGTGAGTCATTGGCGCCCGTCCTGCGCTATGGCAGTGGTCCACCCCTGGAAATTTGGATAAATAAACCCACACTTGCACTAGGGAATGCGACAAGTGTCTTAATGTCACTGGTTTTCATGTACCGGTTTCATTTTCAGAAAAGACGTCAAAATCTCAACCATTTTCAGATTCACGACACCACCTGTCTGCGTGCCCTGTCTGCGTGCCCTGTCTGCGTGTCATGAGAGCCATACACGTGCGGTACACGTAGTACACGCATGACAGCGCCATCGCTGTACCTCCAGCCCCGGCTGGAGATCTCCGCGGGCGCCACCAGCGTAGCGCAGGAGCTCGGCAAACGCGGCAACGTCGGCCCCACTTCCGACGCAGGTAACCGCGTCGGTGCCCGCGTCGGTGCTAGGCATACGCGCGCGAGGGGGTAGGCGGAGGAAAATGAGCGCCGCGGCCGCGACCGTGGTCAAGGCGGCCGGCAGCGACGGCCGCGCATCGCGCCGATGGATTTGCGAGGGACGCGCGTAGCGGCCCGGGTGGCGCGCCTGGCCGACTGCGCCGAACGAAGGACGGGTTTCGCCGCGGTAAACGCCGGCGCTTGGGCGCTCGGGGCGCGACGCCGGCCGACGTCAACACCCCGCCGGCCGGGACACCTGCACGCCAGCGGCGCACGGCAACGTGCAACCCTACCGGCGGCGGCGCGGCGTGGCGCGAGCGGCGGGCGGGGCGTTGACACGGAGGGAGAGCCTCCGTCGGCATCATCGCGGGCGAATGCAACGGATTCTCAAACGACCGGCGACGACGAGATCAAGATAAGAACGAAATGATGAAGGCTCTGCACAGCGGGGGAGCGACGATCGGGATGCATCGGGTCGTCCTCCTCTGATCTACGTCTCTGGCCCCGGTTTGGTCGCGTTCTCTACAACCGTCCGCTACGCTGTCCGTGCCATGGACACTCGCCTCACTAACGTGCACCGCGTCCACTTTATGGACCAGGAGAGTCAGATTCTGTACTATGGTTATGCTATTAACGCCTCCAGAACGTTCACCCGTCGCCCACCAGCTCATCGTACAAGCCTCAAGATAGCTACCATGCCATTTCTAAGACCGACACCCACAATCCCACGTCGATGATCGACGTGAAACACGGCTTTCTCCACTGCGACGTCGAATCGTGCCAGAACAACTTCCACACCATCGTGGCGACGGTACATGATCTTGTTTTCGTCATCACAGTATATATCCCGCACCTCCCTGGTAGGCATGATGCTGACGCTGGCATCATTCTCTATCACCAGCGAACGAAAGCAGGCCCTCTGCCAATCGATGTCGGTCATGATCTTGTCGCAAGTGCCCTTGGCCACATCCCACACTCGAACTGTATCGTCCCAAGACCCTGAGATAACGCGTCCTCCGTCTGCTCCGATCGCTACCTTCCGGACACCTTCCGTGTGTCCGGTAAGTGCCTTGCCGGATTGTGCTCCAGCCTGCAAGTCCCAAAGCCGCACTGTCTTGTCCTCTCCCCCAGATACCGCCCATTCCCCATCGGCGCTTATCGCAACGCTCCACACCCATCCTTCATGTCCACGGAAGGCTCTGCATATTTGTGCCCCGCTCTCTGTATCCCAAGCACGAACGCTTCCGTCTTTCGAACCAGATACAGTACGTCGTCCATCGGAGCTTACGGCAACGCTCCACACCGGTCGAGTGTGACCAATCATCGCTTTCCCGACACGTAGCCCGGTCTCCACATCCCAAGCCAACACCGAGTTGTCAAATGATCCAGAGACCGCACGACTTCCGTCAGTGTTGATCCCAACGCATCGTACCGGGCCTGTGTGTCCGGTTGTGGTGACTTCTAAACCCTTCTTCAGATCCCATATCCGGGTGCTTCCGTCATATGAACCCGAGATTGCATGATTCCCATCAGAGCTTGTTGCCACGCAACTTACATCACTTGTGTGGCCAGCCATTGCTTCGCCGACCTGCAACCCCGTATTCACATCCCAGACCCGTACGGTCTTGTCGTCCGACCCTGACACCACCAAACTTCCGTTCCCACTCATAACAACGCTCCTAACCCAGTCTGTGTGGCCAGTCAGTATTTGTCCGACTTGCGTCTGCGTCTTTGTGTCCCACACAACCGCAGCATTGTCCTCAGACCGTGATACGGCACGAGTTCCATCATCGCTTATTGCAACACTCGACAACGATTCAGTATGCCTAGTCATTGCCTTTCCTACTTGCGACCCACTTTCCGCGTTCCAGATCACGACTCGTCCGTTAGAACAACCAGACACCGCCATCCCCCCGTTCGCAGATGCTGCGACGCTCTCAATTGGAGTTCCATCACCTTGGAATGTTTCGCCAGCCTGCAACCCGGTGTCCACGTCCCAAAACATTATCGTCCCATCGCTGGAGCCAGAAATCGCTCGTCTCCCGTTTGCACTCATCGCAACGCTCTCTACACCACCGCTGTGCCCGCTCTTACTGTCCCCCACTCTTGATCCCGACTTTGTGTCCCATAGTAGCACTTCGCCGTCACCTGACCCAGATATCGCACGTGTACCGTCAGAGCTCATCGCAACACTCCACACTCCACTCGTATGGTCCGATAGCAAGCTCCGCAATCGTAATCCCCTCTCCACATCCCAAACTTGCACGCTGCGGTTCTCGGATCCAGAGAGAGCAAACCTCCCATCCCCGTCGATCGCAACGCTGTTCACACGACTCCCGTCCCCAGCCTTCGCCTCCCCAAGCTGAGATCCCGTTCCCACATCCCAGCAGCGAATCCATCCATCATCACACCCAGAAATCGCACGTCTTCCATTCGCACTCATCGCCACACTTAGCACAGCTGCCCTGGGAACGGGCATCGGATTCCCAATTTCATTACCGCTCTGCGCGTCCCATGTCCGAACCGTTCTGTCCTCCGAACCCGACACAACACGTTTCCCGTTTTCGCTAACTGAAATGCACGTCACTGCCGCACTGTGACTGGTCTTGGCTGCATCCTCCTTCCATCCCATCTCCACGTCCCACATCCTCAATGTCCTGTCATCTGATCCTGATAAAGCTCGGGTCCCGTCTGTATTCATCGCGACGCTGTACATATGAATATGACTACCATTGTCATATTTATGGACATGCAATACTGAGCTTGTTGCATGTCACTTGCTGCTGGCTCAACTTGTCCAGATTGTTACTGACTCAACCTGTCCAAATGGTTAGTGACTCAACTTGTCCAAATTGCTACAGACACCTTACGTGTCGTATGAAGATAAGCAAGTTAAGAAATACTCTAGCCTAGTAAAGAGTATATAACCAACTCTGAATGACTGTCCCCATTGAATAAAAAGACAACCGAGTACCCGTTCTACTCCGTTCACAGTACCTGTTCTCGCCCTCGCTCTGCTCTGCTCTCGCCCTCGCTCTGCTCCGCTCTGCTCTACCCTGCTCTGTCCCTGCCCGTCCTGCCTCACACCAATCAATCGCTCTGTACGTCTGACGTCGTCTGCCCCCCTGTTACGCATAACTCTCTTAGTACACACTACCGGTGTGCCTAGTCATCGCGTTCCCGATTTGTGACTGTGTCTCAAGGTCCCAGAGCCGTATGGTCGTGTCCGGTGACCCAGATACTGCCCGTTTTCCGTCCTTGCTCATTGCGACGCTCGTTACCCCGGCTCCGTGTCCAGTCATACTCTTGCCGACTTGTGACCCCGTCTTCACGTCCCAAAGTCGCACTGTCTTGTCGAATGACCCTGATAGCACCTGTCCTCCATCCCCGCGTATGGCAACGCTGCTCACGTTACGCGTGTGCCCCGTTATCGTCGCCCCGAGCTGTGACCCTGCCCTCACATCCCATACCCGAATATTCCCATCAACTGACCCGGATACCAAAAATCTCCCGTTTGAGCTTAACGCAATGCTTTCAGCGAGGCTGAAGTCACCGCCTACCGTAGCCTAGAGTTCTGAACCATCATCTACGCTCCATACATGCACACTTCCGTTAGTACCCCCACACGCTAATAGCTTCCCGTCCGAGCTCAAAACAAGACTCGCCACCCAAAAATTAGCTGTCTGAAATTTGTTGATGACGTTCTTTTCTGACACACTCCAGACCATTACCGTACCATTAATGTATCCAACAGCTACGCGTTCTCCACTTCCACACATACATGCTCCAACGAGCCGCACGGGGTCACCTCTTGCGCTAGCACTTGAGGTCTGACCTGAATTTGTGCTATATACTTGCGAGTGTGTCCTTAAGTGCATGCATGTTTCTATCACCTTCCCAAAACAATTCTCAATTCTCGCAATCCATCGCCTTGCTCGGCTCAAACGCCGTCCTTGCCATGTTTCTTCTGCTTCTGCAGATTGGCGTGATGACTCATTCATGGATTCACTTTGCTCTAATGATGTATCCATCCGTATCGTTTCACTCATATCTCCATCTTGCATCAATACCTGCCCCCCATCAGAATGGCTCAAATTTGGTACTTGTTCTGCTTCTTCTGCTTCCGTAGATGGGGCTGATGACTGACTCATGAATTCATGCCACAACGTACCCGGCTCCACAGTTTCACTCACGTGGCCACCCTGCATCGACATCTGCCCCCTCTCACAATCGGCGTTTAGGAACACGACTTCGACATGCTTCTCCTCAGAGAATTTTAAAACTGCTACCTCGCTTTGAAAATCCCTCCACGTGCATGCAATGACTGCCTTATGCGCTTCTAACCCCACTGATACTCTCCATTTCCATCTTCCCATCCTTTCTCTGTATTGATCCGGGACCGTAAACACCTCTAACATATTTCCGCCGGCTCGATGCAAGCACTCATTCAAAGGACATACCCATGGTCCCGGAGCCCAATCCTCCATATCCGACAAGAACTTTCGCACGCTCTTCAGTGACAACTTCTTGTACATTGTACGAGCGTAGAGTTGAAAGCATATCCCACCAGTGCTCTCGTCACAAAACGGCACACTCAGACGCGCAGCTTTCATCACCATTTCCATTCCACATAACGTGTCCTTGTCAACTTCATCCTTGCCCTCGCCCTTACTTCCGCTCCTGTCTTTCCAAGATCTGATCAGGTCTTTGACAGCTCTTTCGTACTGCAGCACCGCCTTCCACTGCAACATTTTCGTCACCCACCAAGGACTCAGCACCAAAGCCTTCGCGTCTTCGAACCGTTCCGCCCTCATCAGTAGCCGATAAATGTTTTCCACTACGTACTCCTCTCTCATCCCCCTCATATCCGAGCCCCCACCTTCCACTGCTGCCGCAATCACACCTCTCCCGCTGCAATATTTGTTCACTAACTTCATGCACCAAGACATGCACCCTTCATTCTCTTCCGCCTCACGCACCGCAAATTCGTGCGTCAAATCGTGTAGACGAAGTCCTGCAGCACAACCTCTGTATTCAGTGTCTACCAACCCAACCCTGTTCATATCCAATACATATGCACTCGCAGCATCCGTGTCCTCCGTCGCCCACAAGTCGCATAACACTGACACCGGAATCCAGTCCTGCTTCTTCATCACACACAACCCCCCGGTGCATTTCCCTAAAGGACAGACCCTGTTGCGTCTCCTCTCCTTCGCTTAGCTACCTACAGTCTGCTTGCTTATGTAGTGTCACCGCGTTGCTCGCTACCCGCTAGTGTTGCTCACATCTCTAACCGTTACTGACAGTACTTGCTTGCTGAACTAAAAGCTAACGGTCGCTTAATGCTAAGGCGCTGAGTGTAGCTCCTGCCCGATGCTTCAAAGTCGCTGACTTCGTCCCTCTTCTGCTTTGCATTGCTTTGCGGTACCGTGCCCGTTCGTTATCCGTGCCCGTTTGTTATCCGTGTCCGTGGCAATCGATGCTCGCGGAAATCTATGCATTGTGTCCGACGTGTAATCGGTGGCCCTCACACTTGTCACAACAGTATATGCGCGCTTTATGTGTTTATTGAGCTTTAAAAAGTCAAAATCGGTGAAGGACTGGGTAGGATACGGCCTTTTCACCAGACATGCCTAGAAAAAAACCGTCACTTGCCACATTTTATCATGAACTCTTATGCCTGGCGCCTGGAGCAGAAGGGACACGTCCGAATCTGTGATTCAGATTTGGGCATTACAGAAGGTTTTGATAGGAACATGAGGCAACTGATTTAGGATATCTGTAATTCTTTTTACAAATTCACGCCTACGGATCGCACCGACAGCTTCCACTGCCGGACCCCTGCCGGCCGCCTGCCTGAAACCCCCCCCTTTGTCACCCCTGTCCTCGCCCGGCCCGTCTTGCTGGCGTTGGCACCAACGCTTCTGAATCCGGGGACATTCCGCCACCAAGCGCGTGCGGGCAATCATCGCTCGGCCGTCCCTGTGTTGGGGTCTCTCGGCGACCTGCGCCGTCTCTGCCGGGTTGGCGGCACTGAATGGCTTGAGACAGTCGCGCGTCACTTCGCATGTGGGCGAGCATTTTGTCTTGTCCATCAAAGCTCACAGACCGGTTCACGCCGCGACGGTGTCCAACAAGTCCAGCTGCCCACTCGGCGCGTGACTCGACTTGGGGGGACCTTCAGGCGGGGTTACGTGCCCACCGGGGGGGTACTGTAAACTTTACTCGTATCGTCCTGCGGCTTTCGTTGCAGTACTGTACTGTAATACCGATGGACTGGACAAGCCCCTGGAATACAGCACTGTATCATACGCCTCCCTGGAGTCCCTTGCAGCCCTCGTTGCAGCCTCGTTGCTGTCGTAAAATTCTTGTCAGTGCGTCGCGAGAGCACCCTTACTAAACTCACGATGTGCCAACACCGCAGCAACAATCCGCACAACCGCCGCCCTCTCCCTTGACGAATGAATGTAGGAAATCGCTCCGAAAATCACTGTCAAGCGGGCACATGCCCTAAAATTGCTGTAGCCCACTGAACGTACTGCACATATTCGCAACGCCAAGAGTGGAAGCAAACCTTCCCCGCCCCCTCTGCGAGAAGACCACGAACGACAAACAACGACGAACAACGACTAACAACAACAAGAGAGAAAGAGATTCGGAGAGAGGGAGATATTGACAAGACCAAGCGCCGCTTTGCCACCGCCACCTACTCGAATCCGAACAACGCCCCATAATCCCAGACACCATGGCTGATCCATACAGTATCTTGGGCCTCACCGGCCCGGCTGAGCAAGTCGTCCGCCTCATCGCAAGTCTCATCGCTCGACACCAAGCCTACAAGAGAAACAAGACGCTCTCTACCGAAATGCTCACCGCGTACACCAACTTGCAGAGAGACATCACGGAGCTTGAAAACATGCCGATCCATGGAACGTCGTCGCAGCACACGGGCTTGCTCCGACGTGAAATCGCGGACATCTCAAGCTTCATATTGAAGTCCTTCGCTGAGCTGCAGAAAGAGTCGAAAGACCCAAAAGCGAGACTCGGTGCGTTCGCCTCTGCAATGGGAGATAGAGAAGTCCTAGAGAAGCGAAAGCAAGAAGCGGACCGCCTTCACAAACGTATTGTACAAGCAAGCACGGGCATCGATACTCGCACGGCCGTCGAGTCGATCAGACGAGGCACGGGTAATATGTTCAGGGCGTCGATAAGAGCCGAACATAATCCTGCGTCGATATGTGTGAAGCTTGATTCTCGGGGGAGCGATGGATTACCAAACACGTGTGAGTCGCGTCTAAAAGCGGCTGTGCTACGGAGAGATAGGAACAAGCAAGTGGGTGCGACAGCAGTGGGACAGGGCGGAGTCGGGAAGACATGTGCTCTACGAGCGATCGCGCACGACGTTGAGATTATGGCAGAGTTCTCGGGAGGAGTGTACTTCATGTCGTTGGGGAAAGATGGAAACGTGGGACGGCTGATTGAAGAACTGTGTCTGATTGTGGAAGCGTCCGGTGGGAACCAGACGGCTGTGGAAATGCGAGAGCAGAGCGAGTTTGAAAGGGTGTTAGCGAAGGTACAAGCGTGGTTTTGTAGTCATGTGTGCCTGTTCATCATTGATGATGTGTGGGTGGTGAATGATATAGACGCGAATATCCTTCAAAAGTTGTCTGTTCTGGCTGAGACTGCGGGGGGCAGCGGGGGAAGGAGCAGACTACTGTACTCCACGAGGGATAAGGAGCTGCGTCAGATTGGGGAGCGGGTTGCTTTCGAGCCGAGGGAGAAGGTAGGGAAAGAAGCAGTTGAGATGCTTGTGCACGCGAGTGAGGCAAATGGAGAGGAAGTGGATGATGCGAGATGCAAGGAAGCCGTGGGTGAAATACTGAAAATGTGTGGCGGATTGCCGCTTGCGCTGAACGTGGCGGGAACGAGCGTGAGGTACATGAGGGAAAGATGGGAGGGAGAAGTAACAGAAGCATGGGGGGCGTACCTTTCGAGGATGAAGAGTCGTAACACGATTCGCAGGGAGAGTCCGAAGGACGGATATTCGTCGTTGGATGGGACATTGCATACGTCACTAGATATCCTGGAGTCGGATGTGGGAAGGAGTGGGGAGACGGTTGATGAGTTTTCGTTTCGAAAGATGCACCGGAGTCTGTGCATTATGAAGAAGCAAGACCGGATACCTTTGAGCTTGGTTGGAGATTTGTGGGAGATGGACGAGGAGCGGACGGAAAGGTGTTCAAAGGAGATGGAAAGGGTTGGACTAGTAGAAGTGCAGTATGAGAAGGATTGTGGTGGGTTGCGGGTGCATGATCTGACGCACGATTTCGCGGTGGAAGAAGCGAAGAAGAAGGAGGGTGTAGAAGAGTGGTATAAGAAGATGGCGTATGTGTGCAGGGCAGGAGGAGGGTTGCTTGCGATGAGTGAGGACCGAGACGGAGAGGGGAAGAGCGCACGGGAGAAGTATGTTCTCGAGAATATATATCGTGTTTTGAAGCAGGGTGGGTATGTAGAGGAGCTGAAGAGGCTATTTTTGAGTGCGCGATGGGTGAAGACAGTGATACGGAGAGGCGGGGTTTGGCAATACGAGGAAGCTGTGAAGGGATTGAGTAGAGACTTGAAGGGGAAAAGAGGAAGCGGGAAGATGGGAATGGGACGGGGAGATGAGGATGCAGTGGATGGAATGGTTTTGATGATGCGGGCTGCGCGACTGAGTGTACCGTTTTGTGGTGCAAGTAATGCCGGGATTTACTTTCAATTGTATGGGTGAGTGAAGCACAAGGCACGGGATTCAGGTTGTGTACGAAAGATGATGAAGGAAATCGAGAGATACGCATCACGGCCGTGGGTGTGGCCTGAGTGAGTGTGTAGCGCGAGCCGATGGAAGGTTGGTGGAGCAGATTGTTCT